TGCTTCTGAGCGGGGCGGAGAGAGAAGGGTAACCTCAGCTTCTGCAGCCGCCTGTGGAAACCAGCCGCCTTTCTGTGTTAGATTTGATCACGCAATTGGGAAGACTAGATGCTGCGATCCCCGAGCATCATGTCCTCTGACTATAAGCCGGGCCTCCCACCGTGCTTTTTTTTCTCTTGAATTTGTTACATGTCAATTCAAAGTTGGTTGGTTTTTTTTGTTTTTTGTTTTTTTTTTCCATGAGTCTCCCACCTATACAGCATTCTGTAAGGGCATAGAACCAGAATTCTCTCTCAGCTCGGTAGGTGAGGGCATCTTCTCTAAGCTGAAGTGACTGTAGTTAATCTAGTTGTTTGGGCTGTCTTGGCAGGTGACGGAGATGAAGAAATTGGGGTATAGACCAGACTACAGCAAAAAGCAGTATTTGCTCTATGGAGAGATGAATTGCAGCTACCGTTGCCTTCGGTCAGAGGCTAGGATGCTTCGCTTTGGTTTTCTTTGTGATCTCAGTGACTCCTTTAGAAGCACTGTAGAAGCCTGTGGATCAGAATCTGCAGATAACTGGACTGGAGTACAGAGGCCGAGCTGTTTGTCCGTCCGGTTTCTTTTGCTGGAGCTGTTTGCGCAGGGTTGGTGTTGTTCCTTTTAGGGACTCTACCACAGGAGGCTGTTACCTTAACGCTTAGAACAGCGCTTCAGGGAAGACGACATCGTATCTGGCAGAAAAAATCCTATCAGCTGAGAACTGTGTTTTCTAAGGAAAGCTTTAGTGCCAAGACTTTAGTATTTCTTTGTGTAAAAATCTTGCAAAACGCCGCTTTCAGTAAACCATCTGAAATGCGTCTTAGTTATGAAGTCGCCTTGTGATTTCTTTGTCGCTTCAATTGTGAGCAGACAGTTGTGGGAGCAACAATTTCTGAAAATTCCATAAAAGCAGTAGTTTTCTTTGGCATAAACTTCGCAGCGTGATTGATTCCAAAGAGCGATTTGCTGTGATGGCTGGACGTTTCTAGCTGTGGGTAATGCGTGTTATTTTCCCGTGTGAGCATTAAAACATGTTTCTCTCTTTTTACCCTTCTCTTTGCAGATCCAGCTATGGGATACAGCAGGCCAGGAGCGCTTCAGAAAGAGCATGGTGCAGCACTATTACAGGAACGTACACGCTGTCGTGTTTGTGTACGATATGACAAACATTGCCAGTTTTCATAGTCTGCCGTCGTGGATAGAGGAATGCAAACAACACCTCCTCGCCAACGACATACCACGGATTCTTGTGGGAAATAAATGCGACCTGAGAAATGCTATTCAGGTACCTACGGACTTGGCCCAGAAGTTTGCCGATACCCACAGCATGCCGTTATTTGAAACCTCTGCCAAAAACCCCAATGACAATGACCACGTGGAGGCCATATTTATGACGCTGGCTCACAAGCTTAAAAGTCACAAGCCATTAATGCTAAGTCAACCCCCAGATCGTGATCAAATACACATAAAGCCTGAACCGAAACCCGCCATGACTTGCTGGTGTTAAATGTCACTATTTATTAGCTGCCACCTTGTCCCGTGTGCAAACGCTCCGAGATTATGATCTTGACGCAGGTCAGGGGGTTGGTAGCAATTATAGCAAATCCCTTTGGCACTTTACTGTGTTGTTTGTTTTTTTTTTCTGGTGTAGACGTGCCCATCTCATTTTCTTGCGCTTCGTTATTCTACGTTCTGAATTACTGAAGTTTCACTATAAATATGCAGGAAAGTAACCTTTCAGATGAAGTTTTAAGAAAGCAAGCCTTCTCGAGCTCTGGCTCTCTGAGATCGTGTCTGTTGCTCGTGGCAGAGTTGTAAATAGTAAGACGGTTTACTAGCGTGTTGGTTGCTCCCTGCATTGGGATAATGTAGGAGGAAAAGTATTTCGGGACGGCCAGATGTGCAGATGAGCGGGTGGGGAGATTTGCGCTGTCTGAAGGAGTATTGGATGCCTGCTAGCAAACTGAGGGCCTGTTTCTTTAAAAAGCAGACAGGACCCTCAGATTAAGTTTGAGCCGTCAGCGTAAGTGCAAACTGCTGGCTTTGGTGCCCTGTCGTCGCATGGCGAACTGCTTCTCTGTGGCAGTGGTGGGAGCGTTGAGCAATTTGTCCCTACCTCTAGGCGATTATCTGGTACGTAACGCTTCATTAATTCATCGTAATTAATGATAAGACCAATCTGCCCTTAAGGAAAGTCCCGTAGCACGGGATGTGGGGGAAGAACAGGGACTAGAACTATCTTCAGCCTCTTTGACCGTACTAAGATTTAGATGTTCACAGAATCACAGAATCGTAGGGGTTGGAAGGGACCTCCAGAGATCATCGAGTCCAACCCCCCTGCCAAAGCAGGTTCCCTACACCAGGTCACACAAGTAGTCATCCGGGCGGGTCTTGAATATCTCCAGAGAAGGAGACTCCACAACCTCCCTGGGCAGCCTGTTCCAGTGATGTTCAATGAGGTTTGGCTTCTCAACGTGTTGTATTTGAGTGGAGCGAGCCAGGATAAGTGAAAACGCTTACAATAAAAAAAAAAAATAGGAGTGAATGCATCAGAAGAGTACTGGGGTTTTCAAAGACACAGCTTTTGGAGGATGCTCAGGCTGGTAAATTCTTTTTAAATATCTTGGAAAAGACAGCTTTTTACAGGGCAACGTGACAACTTGCTTTAGGGATGAGGACGCCTAGGACAGACCCTTACTTCGGGTGCCCCTTTTGATGTACAAAGCCGTGCCTTATTTATTGGAAACGTTGAGGCCGCCGTACTGCATGGAGCCATGTTGCATCATGATAAAAACACTGTCGGCCATTCACAGGATAGGGAATTTAGGATTTCCTTTAACTAGTTTTAAAGGCAAAAATTAGCTCTTGAATTACGGAGAAAAACGTGCCAAATAGGTAAGGTGTTACAGACGTTGTTGGTTACAACACGCCCGTGTCACGGCTGTAAGCTGTGCCTCCCTGGCATTGCTCACGGGAGTTAGTAATCCCTCTTCCAGAACCATCTCCTTCTGTGTTCTGCTCTTTGCCACCATTTGTTCTGTTCTTTGAAGGTCAAAGTTCATAGCAAAGATGGTGCCGTGGTGCTAGGTTGCATACAGTTACATAAAGTGAAATGGAATCCTTAGATTTCAATGTACGACTCTGCATGCCGTGGTCGAACAATATTTTCCGACTTGTTATTTTTTAAAGCAATTTAATGAACAATGAAGGTGTTTGATTTGCAATGTGAAATGTGTTGTGTCGGCTGGAAACACGAAGCCCAGGTTAGAAGCTGCCAGCCCAGTGATGGTTAGAAACTAATTACTGAAACAAAGTAGCTAATGTAATGTGAACTATGGAAATCACGTCATTGCATTGCAAGTTGTACCGATCAAAGGGGAAATGCATCGACTCTTTTCCAGATTTAGAAAAGCATTCCATTCGGCCTAATACGATGAGGATGTTGAAAAAGACTCTACACGGATAATATTACTCTTGTCCAAATCAAGCTGCTACAGTTCTGACTGTAATGTTGTTAATGCAACATGTGTTAAAGGGAACTTTAGTATTTGCTCTGAACCTTACGTGACCGGGTTTACGGACCTTTCAGAAGCAATCAGCTTTTTGAAACTAGCGTCCTTAATGGTTCTTTCGTTGTTGTTGTTGTTGTTTTTTGTGGAAAAGGATCGACCTGAAATTTATGTGTGTACTATTATAAATGAACGATTTATTTTTCACTCACGTCCTGAATCCTTTTTCTCAAAAGGATCTATCTTAATTAGCTGTGTATTAGTAAGCGCGTCAGCAAGCATTCTTTTGTTGCTGTTGTCTTTTTTGTTTTAATTCATGTGAGCAAAGCAGATCACACAGAATGAAGCGTTCTGAAGTCAGGCTGGGGTCTGAGGTAAGGAAACAATGTAGATGTAGATACAGTAACAATGTTAAAGCGGATGTCGGACATCTGCAGATCTGTTAGGCTTTGAGGTATTCGCAACCTGTACATAAGGGCCCTCACGTCGTTCAGATGGCGTGGAAACAAATGATGCTTTTAGTATGTAATCTTGTCTCGAGCACACAGCATGTTTTAACGGTTCTGCCTTGAAGATAACGCGAGCGTTAATTCGGGATTCGGTGCGCTTCCTGGCTTTCAGTAGTAGTGTTCTGCCCACAGAATCGACGTGAAAAGCACTGAACACTTTGTATCCGTATTTTCACCTTACCCAATTGTAACGTTGGATTATTTTGTATGTGTTGGGGAAGGGTGAGACACGGTGCCAGAAACCTAAGAACTGGCTTTGCCGCAGACTATTATCACTTGTTTTCAGTAATTGTCTAAGAACGGCGATAACATTTCTCTTAGTAAAATCCATAATAAACTGTGATAAAGAAGGGAGGAAAATGAGTCTGTGTTTTTTTCTGTGCGTGGCTGACAACACGTTGGAAGCGTGTGCTGGTACTTGGCCTGCCGTCAGCGCCGTGCGATTTCTCTAAGCATCTAAAAGAGCCACCTGACATTTTGTAGCACGTTCGGGTCGTGTGGGAGCTTTCCAGGAGAATGGGAACCAGTGAAGATTTCAAACCAGCAGCTACTGGCCCGTAAACGTGCGTCGATATCCTTGAGGCATCTTCATCACGCTCACGTGCAGAAAGAAAAGCCCTTATCCTCACACAGCTGGGGCTCAGAAGATAGTCTCACAGGCTGTTCGGAAAAAACAAGTACCGGAGTCTCTTTTTTTAATGCACTCACAAAAAAAACGCTGTTTGGAGCTTGAAGGGGGGGATTGAGAGAAAGGGGTTTTTTTTGTCCGTTTGCTCTGCAAGTCCAAATGAAGGCATTCATGCAGCTGAACGGAGTCATCGGCGAGGCCTGTAAGGCGACATTGATAGGGAAAGAATTGCTGCTGGCTTCCACGGCCCGTTTGGATGCACTGAGCTCTGCGCAGCCACCTGGCCGGAACGTTGGAATCAAAGGGGCTGATGTGTGCCGAAGGCCATGCTGGAGGCCGCTCCTCGTAGCGTAGCAAGGTGTTACCACGGCTCAGAGGAGGGCCTATGAGAGCTGCTGAAAGGAAAAGGGAAAAGGGGGATGGGGGGGGGGAAGAGAATAAAAATTTACTATCCTTGTCTTCCTCTGGAGTTAATACATTTCCCTAAAATAAACTGCTAACTGTATTTTCTCCTTGTTTATTCTTAGCGGAATTGTGATTTGAAGATACATTCCTAAAGCTGTGAATAGTTTCTGACGTTTCTTTAAAGCCTTCATTATTTGAACGGCCACCTTCCAGCTTGAGTAACTACGTTTTGCCTACTTAAATTCCTCACGCAGTGTCAATTAGATAAGTTATTCTTTGCTTTTTCTAAACCGTTTTGCAGCAGCACTGCTGCTGCTAAATCGGGATTTCACCCCAGAGGTGCTTGCACTGATCTCTGCACACCAAACACGATATACCAAACAGACCGAGTTTTTTGCTGGATTTAAATTGTTTAGAAGAAGTTTTATTTGGAATTATTTTCAGACGCCCACAGTGACGCTTAATTTAAAGGCACAGTAACCTCCCTCACGGTTTCCTGCTATAACCCCTCCAGAGAAAATAGACCATGCACACTCAAAGCATTTCTAGACAGTCCTCAAGGAGACCGTCCTTAAATCGTAGGCACATCGCCGTATAGGAGTCACCCCACTGAAAGAACCAAGGGCAGGGTTTAGAAGATACTTCTCAGGTACATAAAACCTCGGGAGTTAATAGCTGCGGCAGGCACGTGGCGCAGGACCCTTCCGCCTGTGCTTTTGGAAATGCTGCCAGGGCCTTGAAAAGGAACCAAACCTATCTGTCAAAGAGTTTCCTCCTATACTATGAGCTCAGCTTGAAACTATACAGTTGCACGTAATTTTTGTCTACTGAGGAAATCCAGGCAGTATCTGCCCCAGATGGATTTCAAATGGAAGTTTTCTCCAAGCAGGGTGCTGAAACTGTACAGATGTTTTGCAGCTCCTCCAAGGCTTCGCTGCACTTGAGGTTAAATGTAGATTTAACCGTAAACAGATACTTTCCCTATTGTTTCTTAGTAGGGTAGCAGCTGAAATAATTCTAAGGCCAGGACCGTATAGCGGCCTTCCAGTCCCCGAAGGGGGCCTACAGGAAAGCCGGGGAGGGACCTTTCAGGAGGGCACGTGGCGACGGGATGAGAATAAATGGTGTTAAGATGGAAGAGGGTAGATCTAGACTAGATAGTAGGAAGAAATTCTGTACTGTGAGGGTGATGAGGCACTGGATCAGGTTGTCCAGCGTGGCCGTGGGAGCCCCCACCCTGGAAGCATTCAAGGCCGGGCCGGACGGGGCTGTGAGCAACCCGGTCTCGTGGGAGGTGCCCCCGCCTGCAGCAGGGGGTTGGAACTAGATAATCCTAAAGGTCCCTTCCAACCCACACCATTCTATGGTTCCACGATCCTATGATTCTATTTCCTGAAAGGGCAGTAACACTGTTAATTGGGCACGGCAGAAACTGTGCTCGCAGTTGTTCACTGCTGCGTTGCCCGTAGCTTTTCTACTGCGGCATATTCTTTGCAACGTATTGCATGTTGTTGTTTTGTTGAGGGCGTTGTGTTCTTTTTGAAAGATCCCCCCAACGTTAAACAAAAAATAGGATCGATTGAGGCTCATTTTCCTCATCGCACCTGAACTCATGCCAGTCCTCGACATGCAGAAATGAGACGCATACAATGCAAAGGCGCAGCATGCAAAATCGAATGCTTCCTTCAGACAGACATGTTGGGCGTACTCCGAATTTGTAGAATTTGTTGATCAGGGAATATCTGTGTGTACAAGCACACATGTAGATACTTACATCCCACCAGATCTGAGGAAAGGTACAGACAAGGATCTAACTCTGAACTGATTTACTGCGGCTGTGACTCTTACTGCAATAGTGAATCTTTCCTTGCAGTTTGTACCCTCAGTTCCCATTAGCCTCACTCCCCACACATAAGGCCATGGCTTATTTGCCGCCACAAAAAACACCGTAAGGCAATTACCTATCATCAGGCCTATGTGCTTCGTTTTGGTTTGTTTTTTTGCACTCACATTCAACAATAAAGAGTAAGAACTTGTTTTACAGACACTTTGCGCCCCGCTGGCAGCACGCACCAGCTGCAAGCCAATTGAAGTAGCTCTCCAACAGTTTTCCTGGCTAATCTGTAAGTGGAGTCGTTTTATTCTCTGCAGCACCACCGCCGCAGCCGGGGACAAGCGGGGACGGCCGCAGCGTCTCCGCCATCCGCCGCTGCCAAGAGGACGCTCGGGAACACAGGCAGCCTCTTAGAAAATGGAGCTGTTCTCAGGATGCTCTGATTCACGAGGGAGTGGGCTGGCACGTCATAGGGAGACAGGGGAAATAAGGGAGGTGTATCTCACAAGCAAGTGAGCTCGCACAAAGAGTTGTCATCACAGTGCCCGGATGAAAGCTTGTAAAGAATTTCAGTACGATAACTGTCATAACAACAGAAAGCACTCTCATAAGACCAGATCGTCTTCCTGATTTGTTGTGGCATCCCCGAGGGTAAGCAGGCATTTCATTTCTCGGCTTTTCATTTTATTTGAATGACATCAACCTGGAAATCACGACTGCAGTGCTCAGAACAGAAACCTCACAGTAGAACGTCGAGCTGTGTGCGTACAAATACGAAATGGATTTGCCAGTGCGATTTATTGTCTCTGGTCTCATTCTTCAATCAGCAACAAAAACTTTGCAAACACGTGTGTCTCGCTGCATAATATATACATGTGTGCGGGTGTCTGTGATAAACTGCCTTCACTCGAGAAGACATGGGAGTACTGGAAGGCAACTCGTGTACAAAAGTAGATGACAATGAAAACTGATACACAAGGTGTGTTACACATGATTTTTTGTGAATGGCAGTTAGAGATTTTTTTTAAAGTCCAATAACGTGTAACTCCGCAAAGGAGCGCCCTGTATCCTTCACCCTCCCCCATGCCGCTCCGGCGTTCAGCCCAGCCCCGCACCATTCATCCTAACTGTGCCAGCACATCCCTCGCAGCGAAGGGACAGGCACAGCCACCTGGTGCACGGGGACGATCACTGAGCCGGGCCTAAGGGTTCCACGATCCCTGTCAGCACCCCAGTCGGCCCTAACGAGTTCCATCTGTGCTAACAAAGCAACGACTTGCAGGTGCAGCGGGGCGGGCTGCCAGGGCACAGGTGTGCCTGGTCAGGAGCCCAGGGCAGGGCCCGCCCCTAAGCCTTTTAAACCCCTCCGGAGGCTGCTGGGAGCCACAGAGGAGCTCCTGTAGTTCCCTGTCTGTGGGGCTGGGTGACTGCTGGGCTCCCTGTCTGGGGCTGGGCTCTCCTTACTTTGTGGGTAAGTGCGGTACTTTTGCTTGGTTCCTGCTTTTTTTTGTTTGTTTCAGGAGTTGGAGCCGGGTTGCTGCTGAATTTTCTGAGGTTGAGCCCAATCCTGATGCATGTGAGTGCTGCAGGTCTTTCTGCTTGTAGCGACGGGAGTGTGAACAGGATGAGGCTGTGTCCTTCTGTCCAGCCCTAGCGCCACTAGAGGTGAGAAGCAGAGGTGAGGAGCACAGCAAGAGGCTGTTGTGGCTGTTTGTTTCTTTATTAAGCTGGTGGTTTCTTGCTCTAAGCTTTTGCTTTTTGTGTTCTTTTGCAGGGTGAGGGCTGCAGCAGGGCCCCTTGCAGCGAGAATCAGTCCAAGCCTGCTAGCAGCTTTGGCAGTAGTAAGACTGGTGGCTATGAGGGTGGGGGGCTCAGGGATGTGCTCTCCATCCCCTAGCGGAGGGTCTGCCACCGTGGCTCTCTGCCTGTAATAAGGAGGCTGGCTGGGCTTCTGCTCTGCCTTCCTGGCTTTGGTGCAGGGATGCTCTCGAGCTCCTTCTGATCCTCGGGTTCAATGTTGTGCTGCTGTTCAGCTCCCACCTCTTTTTTGGGGGTATTAGAGTAGGGCTGTTGCTCAGCTCGCTGAGGCCAAATGTAGCTCTGGATTAGGGTTGTGAAAGCCACCTGGGGGATGGATCACCTACCTTATGAGGATGGGCCGTTGAGGCTGTTCCTCCTGGAGAAGGCTCCATGAAGTCCTGCAAGCAGCTTTTCAGCAGGTAAAGGGAGGGCTGTAAGAAAGAGGGTGGAATGTTCAGCAGGGTTTGTTTTGACAGCACAAGGGGTTTTTGAACAGTTTATAAGGCCAGTGAGAGATCCTGGGCTCTATTGGCAAGGGGGTGCTTGTTCTTCTCTACTTTGCCTTTGTGAGGCCCTATTTTGCGTTCTGTTTCCAGGTCTGGGATTCCCAACAGCAGAAGGACACGGAGCTGTCTGTGAAGAAGAATGTGGGGCTGGAGCAACTCTGGTATGAAGATAGGGTGATTGAGCTGGGCCTCTTTTTGGGAAGAGAAGGCTGCAAGAAGACCTCATTTCAGCCTTCCAGTATTCAAAAGTGGCTTACAAGAAGGAGGGGAATCAACTTTTTGCCTGGGTAGACAGAGATAGGACAAGAGGGAATAGTTTTAACTCAAGGATTAGTTTGGATGTTGGGGGAAGTTCTTCAGCAGCGAGGTGCTCTGTCCCCCGGAGGCGTTTGTGGCTCCATCCATCCTGCCCTAGTATCATATGGGCAAGTTGGAATTCAATGATCCTTGGAGTCCCTTCCAGCCCAGGGTATTCTATTATATGTTTTTTTTACTGAAAGGGAGGCTGTATCGTGACAAGGATTTTGCTGCAGGGGAGACCAGCACTCTGGGCCGTGCATTCTGGATGAGGCTGTAAGCATCCTGATTTAAATGTAGGTGTCCCTGTTTGTGGCAAGGGCACTGGGCTGTGTGATCCTTAAGGGTGTGTCCTAACAATGTATTCTATTAATCTTCCTACAGGTCCAGGGTGGTGTGAAGCTGTAGGAGGCCTTATGGATGGAGGTGAGTTTTGTTTATGTCTGCAGCCTCTGGCTGGGGCTGGAGAGCAGAGGTACCTCCTGCGTCACTCCCTGTGTCCTAGGCTGTGTGCATGGGTTTTGTTTTCTTTGTAGCCCTTGCTGCATCGGGGCTGAGAGGACAGGGCACAGTGTTTGCCCTTCCACTCATCCTGGCAGTGCTGGGGTTAAGAAGCAGTACAGAGGGCAGCTGAAATGAGAGTGATACTTTATTTCACTTGATCTTGTCTTTTTTTCGTTGCCAGGTGAAGGAAGCTGGGTCCTCCCTTGGGATTGAGTGTTTTGCAGCATCGGGCTTCGGTTCCTGGCTTGATAGCATGTAGCAGAGGATCTCTAGAGAGAAGGAGCTGAAGGAGCAAGAAGCAGGGGGAGTGTTGCTTTGCTGCACAAACAGCACTTCCTGGTGGGAACCGGGGATGGCAGTGTTCCCTGGCTGTCTTCCTTTCCAGGTCCTGGTGCAGCTGATGCTGGGAGCTGTGTTGTTTGACTGCAGCGAGTGCCTTTCCTGTGGACTTTGAAGTGACTGCTGATGGAATGGGCTGACCCTTGGTCTTGTGGTGAGTGTGCCTGGTGTCGGTGGTTCTGGGGATGTGACAGAATCTGGGCCTTTCCCAATTATGTTGAGCAGCGTCAACTTTTTCTTTTTTCTTACAGGTTCTGACCGAAGTGGATTTGGAATGGCTCATGAAGATCACTTAGTTCCAACATCAGAGGAATCCTCTTTCCAAAGGAAGGCCAGACCTGTCTCCTAATGTCCAGGAGCAAGGATTGCTTGATGAGTAGGTGTGTACAATTATCTTCTGTTTGTTTTGTGCTTCTTGGGCTTTGTTGCGTTTGAAGTGCTGCTTGTGGCAAGTAAGCACTCAGCAGGGTTTGTGTCTTGTGTGAGCCATGGGCTTTCTGTTTTTGGAAGTGAGATGGGGCTGAGGATGTTATTGTTGTGGACTTTGCTTTTGGAGTAGTGTGCTAAGTATCATGAAATGAGGTTGTCTCTGCTCTGTGTGTCTTGAAATGGATGGCTAAGTGGTTATTGTTTGTTTCTTGTTGAGTGAAGTAATTGCTGTGCTTGGTTTTACTAAAGTTGTATTGATGTTATCGGTCTTGTGTATGCTGTTGACTTAAGTTCTAGAGTTTGGGGCTGTCATGCTTAGCATTGGGTGAAGTGGTTTGTTGTTTTCCTGGGGGTGTCTTTCAGGTGATTGGCAGAAGTGTTTGAGTTGGTATTGTTTGATCTGGAGCTATGGGCTCTTGTTTGTTTTTTATGGGGCTGTTGACTGGGATTTGCACTATCTCTAAAGAGATATATTTTTTTTTTTTTGGTGGGAGGGTGGGTTCTGTTGACTTAGTTTTTGAGAGGTGGGGTGGGCGGGGCGCCCCCCGGGGTGGGCGGGGCGCCCCCCGGGGTGGGCGGGGCGCCCCCCGGGGTGGGAGTTCCCTCTAGCTTTGGGGACTTTGGGGAGTGCCCTGGGGAAGGGATGGGGCCTGCCTCAGTTCTGGGGGGCTCCCTGGGGTAGGTGAGTGGATCTAGCTGGGTGCTGGGAGAGGACCCTGGTAGCATGTGCTGTGGCCCGGGGGTGATCTTGGACACAGGCTCAAAGGGGGGAGGCAGGACTGGAAGGAACTGGATTCCATGCTTGCTGGAGGCCAGTTAGGTATGCTCTAAGCACACGCAGTGTGTTCTGGGGTGATCCCTTTGTCTGGGCTCGAGGGGTCCTTGCATGCAATAACTTGAGTCGGCCCAGGGAAGATACTTGGAAAAAATCTTAGGAGGTGCAGGTGGCTGTGAACTGCTCCTGGAGCAGGCAGCCAAGTGTACCTCCCAGGTTCACGATGGATTTTCTGCAACGACAAACATCTTCAACCTAAGGTAACTGGGATCAGTAGAAAATAGGGCTTTTCCCACATAGGTAGCTTAGCCAGAGCTTCTCGGTTCCCGTTCTGAGGATTCTGCTGCGGTAATCCATGCTACCTGCTAGAATGAGGAGAGGTGTTAATTTTGAGGTGGTAACAGGGGTCAACAGTCAAACTTAGGGAAAAAATACTGCTGATGTGGGCTTACCGTCTCAAGCAGTTGCACTTCTAGGTTTGAGCCATGCTGTTAACTCCATTGTGGTATCACACGTGCTCTGGCTGTAACTGCTTTTTATGGCAACCAAGGTGCTATATCAACTTGCTCAGGTACTCAAATCTTGAAATGACATCTTAACTGCTGCTAACTTCTCTGAGGGGCTCCCCGTGCAGGTATGAGAGCTGAAGCCTCTGCTACAGCTGCTGTGAGTAGTCCTGGTGAGCTGGACTTTAGCTAGAAAAGCATGACTGAATGTCTGCTGAAATCCTAGCTGTGTGGGAAAGCGACTGGCTGTGGGGAGCTCACCTCGTACAAAGGTACAAAGGGATCCTGGGAAGCGTGGGGCTCAGCTTTGGCAGCTCCAAAACTGGAGGCAGCAGCTTGCTGTCTTTGGATTCCTGGTGTGAAGCTGGCGCATTACATACAGCAGTACTTGAGGTCCTGCTGTATGTAGTGGAGGAAGTTGGCTGTTGTCTGCTTGCTTTTTTTTAAGCATATACTTAAAGTCCTGCTAAATCAAGGTAACGAACAAGTAAAATGAGGTGTACACAAAGATTGCTATTTACCCTCTGAAAATTAACTCAGACTGCTACATTTTGTGCTCCCTTAAACTCAAGTAACAGAGAGAAATGAAGCGGCTGCATTGAAAGATGTTTGCTATCAAACAGCGATTGGTGGGAGCAGCACAAAAAGTAGTGCTCGTGACACACGTGGTAGCAACTATTCCTACACATCTAAGAAGAAATAGATGGAAGGAGTGACTGTATACAGTTTGCAAGGGGCTCGATAATTATGTTCTTTGCTAGGCTGCTGTTCTATGTGCTCCAAGTGAGTTCTTACTGAGCAAGTAACTTTTCTTGCAGCAAGCTCTTCTGCAGTGGTATTTGAATGCGGCTTTTGCCTAAGAGCTGTAACTTCAGCTAACAAATGCTCATTTTGCTATACCTTTTGTCAAAAAATGGCTTGCAAAAAACCAATGCTTTTCCAATTTGACTGCTTTTTCAATTTGACTGTAATACCATTAATCAAATCTGGTCACCCTGGGTGTTTCATGCTGCCGTCTACTTATTTCCCAAATGCCTCCCCTATTCTGAAATATTCTGTAGGAAATAAAGGAAGTTAAATTAGAAGAGATGGAATAGCTAGAGCGTAAAGCTGCTGTTGAGAAGAAACTTGATGAAGAGCAGGATGAACATAGTGACCTTCAATAAAGTACAAGCTCTGCTTTTTCCTTTAGATGCAATACTCTCACCTACCTGCGTTGTGTGATTGCCGGTGGGGGAAGACAACTGGGGGCTGGGGGGACTGCGATTTCAACCCTGCTCGCTGTTTGAGCGGCATCCGATTCAAGTGCTGACTCCTTTGGCACGGAGATGGAGCAGGTGACTTCAGACTCTTCTGCTGGGGGAAAAGAAAAATGGTGTCATCTCAGCAGTTTCCTCTTTGCATTAAGTGAAAGAGGGCCAATTGTGCTCAACATTCTTCTGTAGCATGGTTAGCTGAGCACATGCTCTCCCTGATGTCTATATTATTCTATGTTGTTATTTTATACTTCTATGTTGTATTCTATACTTGTAATGGAAGCACTCTTCCCTTTCTTTAAGTTTCTAATCTCCTACAGAATCCTCCTTCTACAATCAGCTCCAAATACCAGAAAACTAGGTGGAGGGCTGTTCTTCCTCAGCTCTAAGTTTTATCTCCTCCTTCCTGAGTATGCTGCTGCAAGTGCGCAGCTTCAACCTGCCTGGCTTGTGATGGGTTCTCTTATGCGAACCTGAGTTATCCAAGCACGGTCTACTTATAGCTGTCTCAGTTAACAGTCTCTTTGCAGCTTTTCCTTTTAAATAAAAGCCCCTTGAGAACTGCAGAATGGTGGTGGCACTTCCCAGAAACTAAGTACACCTTGTGGCAGAAGAAGTAAAAGCAAGAACTGCTCATTTCTATCACAACTTTAAATTTGCAATGGCTGTTTTCCATTTTCCATTTTTAAATGAGGTATGAGAGCATGGCAACTATTAGACTAAGTCTATCTTTGTTTCTTTCTGGAGCGTGCAGGTTGATGGAAGGCTGGACAGGGCTGAGCTCCAATTGGTGCGGGGGAAGTTGGACCGGGTGGCTGCCGTGGGTCCCTGCCACCTTGAGTGACTTCAAATTTCTGTGATAAGACAGTGCTTAAAAAAACCCATGAAATCTGACAGCTATGCTATTGAGCAGCTACCGGTAATGGCATAATTGAGTAAACTATTTATGATAGAGTTGAAATAATTAAACTATAAGTAACAGTTCCATTGATGTTGGTAAGAATGAAGAACAGTTTAGATGCCTTTGTTGTATAAAATCCAGGCTAGAACAGGAACTGTTGCATTTGTTATGTCAACTTCTGGCACGGTATTATGTGTATCAGAAAATGCTTTGAACATGTAGATGACATTAGACTTTCAGAATTGCTCTACTGCTAAATTAAACCATTTACAGCTGTGGCAACATACAGATGTCTGAGCCTTGTTCTTCTGTGTCTTTCTGCCTTTTATTTAAGGAATGTAAAGTTAAATAACTTAGGTGTGGTTGTCGGGAGGTGGTTATGCTAGGTTTGTTGGGCAATATTTTAAAAGTTTGCATTTCCCCAGTGATACTCCAATATTTCTAAACTCCTTGCATTTTCCACCTCGGTTTCCTTGTGTGCTGCTCTCTGGCCTAGCAGTCTAACTACTGTCAGGCTTCAGGTCTTAACGCGCAGACTCCTCCTCTCCAACTTCTGCTATGAAGTTTCTCCAGTGTCATGTTACCAAAATAAACTATGTATATATGATGTGCTTTGAAAATACCCAGCTGGCATTTTCTCAGCATTTTCCTGCCAGTATGTTTTCCTTCTCCCTACATATTTAAA